CCAGAATCCACAGCAGTCAAAAGAGGGATACACTTGCAGTGAGGCAACACTTGGCATTGCCCCATCTAGGTTTTAGGTATTCAGTTCACAGACTAGCATTCACAAATCCAAGCCAGACACCAAAATCTGACATAGCCTGGGGCTAAAGGGCTGAAGACTTGCCCTTGCACAGCAGCACTGATTTTTTTCATACCCTGGCTGTAGAGGTGTGAAAGAAAAAACCCTGAAGAAGTACACAAGAAAAATGTTTCTCAAATCTACACTCAGATGTTGCACTCAGATTGTAGTGAATTAGCTATCAATTTAGACATCTATAGAAGCTGAGCTCCCTCACAAGCAGAAACATTTCACTGTCATCTCTCTGATGGTGAAAACTGTCCTACAAAATGGCACACTTTGAGTAACAGGCTAGTAGTGTGGTCACCACACTCACTTCTCTGCATGAAGCAGTTCACACCCACATTCCCTCACCTTCCAGGAGACCAACATAACAACCAGGCTATTGACTACATTGAGAAAGAATATTTAACTTCTCTTCTGAGACTAATAGACAAGGCAAAGAGACACACATGAAGCAATAACTCTTCCCTAAGACCAGGACATGAATCAGGCAGAGAGGAATCTTCCACTTCATTGGTTCCTAAAACTATCAATTTTTCTTTTAATTATGGTAATCTGAAAGAAACAGTAACCCACTAATAAATTTTTTCCTCTTCCAAATCCTTGTTTCCTGCCTCCTCATGAACACAGTTTCCCATGCACACAAAGCTACCCTTGAAATCCTAAGAGCTGTTTTTGAAACTGGAGCTCCACAAGTCAGATATGACATAGTTTCACAGAAAAAAAAGTATTTATTACTCATAGACAAGCAATAAAAATACCATTCAGGCAACTGTTCACACTGTGGAAAGAGACCGAGTTACATGATCTTTATTTGTTCCCTTCCACACAGACTACCTGGCAGATGAAATACAAGAAGGCCCCCATTAGTATGCTCAGCACTTGAAAGTTTGGGTTTGCCAGCCTTTTACCAGGCAACACAGTCAATATCAACCAGAATATGTCAATGTGCAGTCCAAGAGGCTGCTTAATTAGGCAGGTTCTGGCATTTTCCACTGGCCAGTGCAGGGAGCTGTTGTAAAACCCATCACTGTAAGGCATAAAAAACTCCTAGATACACAACTAGGCTGCACAAGGAAGACCAAATTCTAAGCAGTAACTGATGTTGAGATCACTTATAAAAAGGCTACATGAGCACATAAATAAAGGGGGATGGTTGAACTACTTCATACTTAACTTCAGTGTGCTTGACCCCACAACCGTGGGGTGCATGTGTGTGTGACTGCCTCGGGGTGCTCTTTTCAAAGAGGAGAAAGTTAAGGCCACCCTACCTCCTGCCTTCTCAAAGAAATGACACCTAATGTACCACCTTGCCTGCCCCAGCAGCTGCCAACATGTGTAGGATTGCCTGGCTGCCAGCACAGACCTGAGTGAAGAAAGTGGCTCTGCCTGTGGAGCCAGTTTGTCACCTGCTACCTCAGTCAATCATGGGAGGAGCTGGGACATCCATTTACTCTGGCATTTCACAGAGGTTTTCCAGCACTCTCAGTTGTCTTCACTTCTGCAAGCTCCAACAGTAGCAGTCTCCGGCTATTGCTCCTCCTGGCTGAGTCTTTCCATCCCTTGAGCCTGGCTCTGACCCGAATCTATATCATTTTCCCAGGCATCTGAGTACAGATCACTTTCCCCAAACCTGCTGCCTCCAGCTCATGTCCTTGTTGTAACCCCAACCACAGGCATGAGAGGCTGGCAGAGAACACTGGTGTACAAAAAGCTGTTCCTGCAGCCACTTCCTGCCTCCTGATCTCAGAAGGCAGCCGTGGCTGATAGTAAAGTTCTGCTCCATGCTTCAAGCCATCATTTTAAACATGCTTCAGACTGAAAAAGCCTTCAGAAAAAAAAAACAGAACCAGCAACTTGCAATTTAATAAGGCTTTTGAGAGTGTATGCAGAGTAACAAATTTCATTTTTAATCCATCATTTTATCAAATGCAGAAAAGTTAAAAAAGGGGGGAAAAGCTGCTTTTGGACACAGAAATGCAACAAGTATCTAATTCTTACTGTAAAGGACAGAGAAGTTACAGTAGTAACAGTAGTTACACTACTAATATGCATTGAAATGGGTGTACTTTTTTTATCCTTCCCAATTTTTTCCCGTGAACAATTGAGCTATTCCTTTTTCCTCTGAAATGCCAAAGATATACATATTTACCTGATGCACACACCTGGAACAGAATTTAATCCCCTCGAGAGGTAGTTTAATGGTTAAAATATAGCACCAGGATGTAGGAGACATCATGCAGTTCTAAATACACAAAATACCTTACCCACTTATAATTTAATCTGGATTAGAGGATAACCAGTCAATGCTGCAGTACACATATTTGGCAGTAGCCACAGCCAACTGCCATGCCAGAAACGTATTAGGCAGAAGAAAAGAGCTGCTTGTCTCATGTAACTTTTATGTCAAAATACATTATCAGTGACTGTACATTACACCTCAGCATTGCTTTGTGTGGAAGATAAGATGCTCTGATTTAAAGCATTATAAATGTTTGCTAAATGCCCTAATTTTCCTGTCTTCTTTCAAAGTGGCACTTTATTATTAGCTTACAGAGTGTGCTAAGTAAGCAGATAATTTTATATTTTCCCTAATTTCTTATTGCCACCTTAAAAATCTGTATTTTAGTAATATTCCTTTGAATAAGAAGAATGTCTGCTTTACCTCGGCATTCAGTGATGAACAGCCACATTCAGCTCCTTGTTACTATGGCAATATTACGTAGGAGGTCCAGAAACAGATTGAAGCTTTTATCATCTCCCTTTGTACTCAGGATATACTTTCTCCACCCTCACCTCCTTTATTTTTGAACAAAACAGCCACAAAGAGGGATGGTGAATCATTCAGAGAATCAAAATAAAGGTTATTTTATTAACTTTGTTGTTATATTAACTGAGGATGAATTACAGGCCTATAAATAGGATATAAACATCAAACACCTTAAGATTTGTTCTTGTAAACTGTTTGCCTTGTTTTCATGATGAAAAAAATAAAAAAGAAGCCTTAGTGATCCACTCTGCTAGCTTCTCAAGCAAAACTGAACCCCTTTGTTGTCTAGCAGTATCCAGGCAATGGTGTGAGCAAGGATCACTCACATGACTTGCTATTTCCCCTGTAAACAACTAAACCAGTCAATGCAGGCACATTTGTGAGCATCAGGTGTGATGAAATCCCACTTTTTATGTGACCCCATCCAAGAGGCAAGAGGCTCCTGTGTGATTACTAACACCACGTCCTCTCTGTTCATGTGCTTTTAACTAGCAATGATTTAAGCCCCCCCACTCCCACCTCTCCTAAAGGGAAAAAAAAAGGGTGCAGAGTAAACTCTTTGAGCAGTCAGTGGGACACAAATTGTATTCTGACCAGGCAGGCATAGTCAAGATTTATGGCAAAACATTTCATCTGACTCAGCCCCTCGTGGAAGCTCTCCCTAGTTGTCAAAGCAAACCAGATGAGCAAAGGTTTCCAACTCGCAGGATTTGACGGTTTAGGAAGCAGGCATGCTAAGCAGCTCAGCCAGCTGAGCCAAGCAGGTCCTGCCACAGCCAAGTATCAGCCAGGGGTGGCACAGCTGTCTGCAACCAGTTCCCTGAGTTCCTTCCGCTCTGCTTGCAATCTGTATTCATCCAGAGGTTAAAGACACATTTAGTACCTCCAAATTTCTTTTTAAATTCATCATTCTGAAGTTAAGAAAAAGAAAATAAAGTCACAGGACATTTTTCCTCCCTCCCCCCTCCAAAAAAAAAAAGATATCAACCCTTCAGACTCAAGAAAGGTGTGTTTTAGGATTTCTAACTTGATACACTACAGTTCTCCAGGTGCTCTCTGATGAGAGCACCATTTGGCACGTGACTATTTGTAGTCCTTACTTCTACTTCTACTTCAGTACTGCTCTAGACAACCCATTTTCTTTCTCCTTTGCCTGTCCCTAGTCTGTAGTTTTGACAGCTGCATATTCTCAATGTGTGTTCCTGTGGCTTTCAGCATTTTTTAAATAACTTACCAGTGGAGGTAGAGATTCCTCATTACGAGATTTAAGCCTATGGGTCATTGGCTTACTTTTTCAGAAATTTCATTAAATCCTTTGAAATAACCGGCACGTTCCAAACAATCCACAAATTGGAGCATTTTTTTAATCTCAAACAGCAGAGAGAACCACTATAGAGACATATATTCCATAAGAACTCCAAAAAAAGAAAAAAGAAGACACTCCCAACAGTAAACTGTCAGTATGACAAGGTTAGCAATAAGCACATAAATGCCCTATCTTGCGCAGTAAACTTGCCCAAACATGCCAGGAAACAAAAACCAGTCCAAAAAGCATTGTAAGCATTGATATGAATTCAATATTTGCTATTTCACAGTAATTTCCCCCTGAAATATTGCCAGTTTTTAATTAAAGATATCATAGTGATCATTAACAGTATCTGGGTCAGACTATATCCCATTTCTAGAGAATCTTTTTGTAACCTCATTGGGAAAAATTAAGAAGCCATGAGATTAATATTTTCCATGTATGTGTAATTTAAAGGAATCACATCCTAATGACATCCTGTGCATTAACTCACACGTACATCTGCCAAGACATATTATTTTCTACCTTAAAATGACCTGCATGAAGTCTACACACAACATTTTTCTCAAAGTTAAAAGCAGCTCTGTGACTACCTACAAATTGAAAAACATGCAATCTCCATAGACCATACGGTTGAATACAGTGAGCAGTACAAAATATCTTCTTAACTAGTACTTAACACCAGGGCATCATAGTGGTCCTTTTTAATGATGTTTGTGCAGAGTCTTTGGACCTGTCTCAAGAAGAAATTTCAGGCATTGCAAATGATATGGAGAAGGCATGTGAACGTACAGGACAACTCACCTGGTAAGAGGCATGAAATTCACTCTCAAGATTTGTTCAGTACTTCATATGGTGGTAAAAGAGTAACTTCCTTGTCTCAGGTGCTTCACGCACCGAGAGCCTTTTCTGCATAATTTTCCTTTTACTTCCTCCTATTTCTGTCCTAGTCCTAAATAGCCTCTGATAGTTTTTAATTTAAAGCTTTGAGAGTTTGGTTGCTTAGTGCTGTTCCCACTCGGATTTTGTTATTCAGAAAATTCCCTGGCAAAGTGAATGCTGTGAATCATTTCCTAGCTCCTCACTGTGTGAGGTATCTGCCTGGCTGTTGGGACCGTGCTGGTGGGTAAAACTCAGGCAGCCAAGAGAATGTTTAGGGGAAAAAAATCAGAATACCAGAATTTGCTACAATTTGCTCTCTCCTGTGCTAATTGCTAAGAAGGTAATAGCTTCTGTGCTAATTTATTTTTATGCTTAATTAGGAACTCTTTTTTCTTTTCATTCAAAGCTCAGCTCTTACCAACACCCAAGCGGGATGGTGACAGGAAAGATAATGGAAGTATTACACTCCTTTTAGTCAGAGTGCTGAGAGCTGAACATCAGCTAACTCTCACCGAACAGTTAATTTAACCAAAAAGTAAAACTAATTCCAGGAGAAGAAAAAATTCTTAGAGTTTTTATTACACCTAGCACTTCCACCCAAAATGTGGGCCCTTACAATAAGAATGACCTAATGTCATTGTTGTGGTTTAAGCCCAGCCGGCAACTAAACACCTTGCAGCCATTCATTCACCACCTCCCCACCCCCAGCCGTGGAATGGAAAGGACAATCAAAAGTAAAACTTGTAGATTGAAAAGTTTAATAACTGAAAAAAAGTAAAATATAATAGCAATGATTATTAAAAAACCAACCAACCAAACAAAAAACCACAAAACAAACAAGTGATACCCAATACAATTGCTCACCACCTGCTGACCTGTGCCAGACCCCGAACCCAGATAGGCCCCCATTCTGGGTAGCTCCCCCAGTTTATATACTGGGCATAATGTTCTGTGGTATGAAATACCCCTGTGGTATTCTGGAGTTCTGGTCACCTGTCCCCGCTATGCTGTCTCCCAGTTTTTCTTTTGTGTACCTCCTCACTGACACAGCATGAGATATAAAGAAAGAGGCCTTGACTTGAGATGAAGAGGACTCAGCAAAAAACATCAGTTTGTTATCAACATTGTTCTCATGCTGAATCCAAAACACAGCACAGTACTGAGAAGAAATTAACTCTATCACAAATGAAACCAGGACAGTCATTAACTCAAGACAACTGACTGCAAAACACAGACCGCATGTTTTTGATATCTTCAATTTTATGGGGAGAAAAAAAAAGCAACTGAGAAACCTTTAAGGCATCCTAGAACTCTCAAGCCCTCATTGTACACCTCAAGGAAGGGGAAAAAACCGGATTTAAAACAATGTACTTCCAAAATAACCTTTAACAACTCTTTCAATAAAATTAAAAGGGGCTAAAACACCTTATTTGATTGTCTATGCACTCATCTTAATGTTATCACTGGGAACCAGCTTCCTTGTCTGAAAGCAGCTCCTAACCATACCACACTCATCTGCTTGTTTGGTCCTGAAGCTGGGTGAGATCCAGACCAGAGCCCATCAGCCAAGCAGCCCTCTTGCAGGCATTCATTCAGTGAGGGTCACAACGTTTTCCCTATATTCTCAGAAGTAACAAGAGCAGCCATGAATAACAAACTACCAGCACTATTTCAAGAGACTATTACTTCAGATTTTGCTCCCTGGGAAGGGAAAAGAAACATTCTCATCTTTCTTGGAGGCCAGGAAGTGAACTGCAGTAACATTGCTTAGGATAGTTACTTGACATCCTTTGGTCTCTCCTCCTTACAGTGGTGTCAGCTGGGAGCTCACACATCACCATACCTGGTCATTGCAAAGCAGTGATTTCTCTTCCAGGAAGTGCCAAAGCCAAACCTTCTCAAAAGCTCTTCTCTTTACAAAACCACCACCTAAAAGAGGCTTTTCTTAAGAGAGAAAACAGAATGTGCCTTTAAGTACCTCACAAAAACAACCCACAAAACCAAAGAAAGAGCCCCCCAACTGTAAGGACAGTTGCTGTTCAAGACAGACACCACCCCACTAGTCTTCTCAGGGCAGCAGCCCATAAACTGATACTCTCATCCAGCTGTGTATCAGATCCCTTAGGCACACCTGGGAAGGGCAGGTGGAGATGTCTGTCAACAGCTCAGGGAATACCACTTGTCTGAGCTTTACAAGTGTTCTGGTGAGGAAAACCACAAAAACCCATAAAAACTGAGTGTGGTGGTTTAGACTTGGCTCCCTGCCAAGAGCCCAAGACCACAGACTTCCCCTCCCCTCTGCTCCCCTTCTATGAACACAGGAGAAGGAAAGGGAAGAGAAGGAAAAAAAACCAAACAAAAGACTGAAATAACAGAATCAAAGCAGTATATATATACATATATTTACACTTATATACAATTACAAAAAACTATATACATATAAGAAAGAGAACCCCAACACCCCAGAAAAAAATGAAAAACAGATATACGCAGCCAATAAAGAACTAACAAAAAAAATCTTAATACTTTCCTTAAGAACACAAAGTCTACACCACCAGATCTCTCCTCTCAAATCAGGAAGAAGCAACAGCCTCTCAAAAACTCACAGGCCTCACAATCCCACATGAGAAACCCAACCGCAGGGAGGCTGCTTTGCTTTCTCCAACTCCACCGGAAGAGATCTAACTTTCCGACTTCCTTCCCCCTTCTATTTATATTTCTACTTACGTAAAGAATAGAATAGAATATTGGGATAGGGGTACTTCCTTAGTTTCGACCTGGTTGTCAGGAAACCACCTAAACCAAACCACTACACTGGGCGACACCATGCTCTCCCCTCAGCTTTGAGATGGAAGACGGTACTGTCAGTGGAGTGGGAAAGTTGAGATTTGGGCTAGAACCCAAGAACAAACTCAGTGATGCTCATGGTTGGGGCTGTTTGGTTAGAGAAACATGGGCTTCCTCTGTCCTCTCAGGCTTGCCAAGAAACAGCAATAAGTCCAACACTATTTATTAGCTACCTTAAAAAAAAAGAGAGACCCAGAATATGTGTTGGTTGGGTGTTTTTTTTCCACTGTAAATCATACTGATGTGTTTGGTGGAAGAAGCTATCTACCCTGAAGCAATTATTGATTATTTTAAGCATCCATGGCACCAGCTGCTCCTAACTCTCCTTCAGCAGCTAAAAGGGTTAGGAATGGGAGGCTTAGGCTGAAGCACTTTGGAGATGGCTAATATACGGTAAAAACCACATGTAGTGGCTTTCAGGCTGCTTGTTGGTTCTTCTGGTAAAATCAAATCTATGCCATCTGAGACGTATTCCTAAACACACCTGAATTGTTCACCAGTTCAGAAGAAGGGTTCTTACTTATGTCAGTACTTACACTGGGGCAGCTCCAGAGGCTGAGAACTGGGGGGAACCAGCAGTGGCCTTATCTGCCCAGGGAAAGCTCTCTCACCTTGGTTGAGCACATGTGCAGCAGAGGAACAAGGAGAAATGCTGTTTCACAGCACCCCACTTGAATTTTCCAGTCATGCCAATAGCAACCTGTTCTGAACCCATGTCTCAGATGGAGGAAAGCTCAGGCTGACTGGGGACCACTGGGATGGGAAGTTTTGGTTCTCAACAGTTCAGAAGGCTCTTTCTCTTTCATCTATGAAAGGAACAGTGATTAGTTCATTATAGGATGCCTATTGCCATATAATTAAATAATGGATCTTAGATAGCAGTAGCGATGCTGCACTAAGACAAATGCAATGATTTATTTCAGGGTTTTCACCACTGTCTGAATATCCACAGGCATTTTGGTCTTCTGAAGCCTGCCACTGAGCTCAAATGTCCATTATGACACATATTAATGACTGAAATAGTTTTGTTATGTTTGTCTACAGTTTTTAGGTATTAGAACCCAAAAGTTTTCTTTTTAACTGAAAAAATACTGAGAGATAAGCTGTGCAAAATTAACAGAAGTTACTGTTAGTATGTAGGAAGTAGCTTCTTCTGTCTCCTCCAATATTGCTTATAAGATTTATGGGCATTTCAACTGAAAGCATTCAGAAGACTACGGGCATCATTTATCAAAGGGAACAGAAAGGGAGCAAATAAAGAAAACAATAAATTTTAATGTTACCATTTGGTGAAGGAGGTACTATTACAGTCAGACATTAGTTATATGACTTCAGAGAATCCAGTGGCTCTGAACATCTGGCCCAAAATCAGGACTGCATAACATCATCTCAGGATGAGCCCATCTCAGTCCCACTTCCAGTTACCATGCACAATGACATACCTAACACAAAAGATTTTGTCTGCATGACCTCTGGACAGCTTTGCTCTAATCAATTCTTCAGGGGAAAAAAAAAGGTAATTCCCAAGTTCTCAAATTCTTCTTTCTAGTGTACTTTGAGCAGGTTCCTCCTTTGTCAGAGTTGGCAGTCGTCTTCAATTTCACACCCACTCAGCTCATGCTGTATTTTCTGCTGCTGTGCATTCAAATTTATTGATTTTTTTGCCACATTTCAGGCTCTGAACAAAGCAGCTTTCAGCCCCACAAGCTTAAATGTACTTCAGCCCATAATGAGTGAATCACTTTTTGTTGCAATTGGAGATACTGATTATAGTCGATATGAAACCATAGAGCAGTTTCAAGGAACAACATTAGGAGTCCAGGATGCTCATTTGTAAACTTGCATTTCCAAAAGAGACATAAAAGGAAAATTCAGCTATAACTCAACTACTATCATTTTCGTTATTGTTAGAAGATGGAAAAACAACAATAAAAAGTGAGACTACATCAATCTAACATACATTAAATTTGGCAGGAAATTTGCAATTGTTGAGGCATATTTGCTTGAAGATGTTACTGAAAATTGATAATTACAGTAGAACTACATGCAAACTCAGCTAAAGTGATATGAAGATGCATGTATTTTATCGCTATCACTACAAATGAATCTTTGCATTTGTGTATATGAAACAGACTCCGTAAATTCTCATGCCCCTTGCGGCCTTCGAGCATAGCTATTTCACACTTGTCTTACAGTGGTTCATCACTTTTTCAATGGCAGTATCAGTGCATTTAATAAATAAATATTTTCTCAAAGCATGTCATTCCTGAAATGTCAGGTGAAAAAAAAATGGAAAAAAGTGCTTGAACAAGCCAAAATGTAGCACACTGCTACATGGTGCAATTAATATATAGAAAGGTTTATCTTCCATGATTTAATGGAACAGTCAACACAAATGTCATTTGGTGTAAACAACTGACATCTAAGTGAAATGTATAATGCTCAGTCTGTGGCACTAATCTTTGTTTTACTCTGCTAAGAGTAATTCAATTTAATGTGTTCCTATACGTTCAAACATTCATTTGCAAAACATTTATACAACCACAGTAAATGCTTAGGTCTGACTGTTGTTCTGAGAACGGCAGTAGGTGGCCGAGACAACTGTCAGCCTATTAAAGATTTTACCTTTCCTTTTCTAACGGTAATTTTTGTACCTCTCGCGGGCCCTCCTCACCTTTCCCAACACACAGAGCTCTGATGAGCACCAGGCACGGTCACAGCCCGGAGCGGGAAAGGCTGCGGTGGGCCCCGGCAACGTGAGGCCGAGGAGAGCTGACAAAGGATGCTGACGTTGCGCTCCCTCCCTCCTTCCTTCCTCCTCCACCTCGTAAATTGGCAGCAGCTCGAAAGATCGGGATGTGTCTGAATTACTGTCTGGGAAAGGGTGAAATCGCGCTGAACACGCACAGACCCAGCCGCTCCCTTTCCGTTGCCCGGCGCACATGCGGCCCCGGGCGCAGGGAACCGGATCAGTCTCTGCCCACTCCGCGGCCGCCCGCACTGCCCCCTCCTCCTCCCGTTGTCCACGTCTCTTCTCAGGAGGGATGCTCCCCGCTGGCGCGGTGGCCGCCCCTGCTGCCATGTGCCCCCCAGCAGAGACGGGCTCGCCCCCACCTGCTCGATATCCCGCCTCCGCCGCCTCAGCGTTTTCTTTGGAGCTGAGTTGTCGGCGGCTGAATCAACAAGCTAACCTGTGAACGGCACCAGGCTCTTCCCACGGCGGTCGGCCCGCCATCCTTACCTTTAGGACACCGAGACAGCAAACACGCTGGTGGACACCGCCAGACTAGGGACGCGAAGCTACCAAGCCGCAAAGGCTACCGCAACACAAGAGTAATTTATTCAAATAAATAAAAATGAACTTTTATGTACAAATATACAAAACCATTACGCACATCTTATAAAGTATTCGTAAGTCTTAAAAAAACCCAAGGGTAGAGGCAGGACGCCCACAGCCAGCTGCCCTCCCTCCGAGCACCCGGGCACCGGCCGTCGCCGCTCCTTTGTCCCTCGCCTCAGCGGCGGCGCCGCCCCGGGGATCGGCTCCAGGCCGGGGGCTCCTCGACGGGCCCCATCGCGGAATCCCCGGCGCCGACGGCCCCACAAAGGGCATGACGGCTGCAGACGGCGGCCCCACCTCCCGATCCGGCGGCCCCCTCCGCGCCGCTCCCCCGGAGCCGGTCCCGGCGGGGTTCAGAGAGTGCCGAGGTGCGGCAGCGTCTCCAGCCGGTCGGGGTGGTCGCGGCCGACCGCGTTCTCCACGCCGCGCAGCCACTCAGTGCATTTCCGCACCAGCCCCTCGTCCGCTGCGGCTCCCGCCTCCTCCTCCTCCTCGTACTCCTCGTCGTCGTAGCGGTGCTGGTCGTTGAGCAGCGAAACCTTCAGCAGGGCGCGCAGGTCGCCGCCGCCGCGCCGGGCCAGGGCCGCTCTGCCGCCGGGCGCGGGGGTGATCTGCCCCCGCTGCCGCTCCAGGCTGCGGCGCTGCAGCACCCGGATCGCCTCCGGGGGCAGGCTGAGAGAGAAGCGCCCCGCCGCCTCCCCCGGCCCCCCGCCGAGGCTCTCGCAGGAGCGGCTGCCTGCCCCCGGGCGCCCTCGCGGCTGCGGCGGGGCGGGCTGGGGCCGCGCTCCCCGCTCGGTCGGCGGCCTCCGCGGCGGCGGCCGCTGCAGGGACGAGCAGGGCCAGGAGCTGGAGAGGGGGCCCGGCCGCTCCGGGGGTGCTCCCCGAGCCTTCCTCGGCGCCTTCTCCTCCGCGGGCCGCGGTGCTGCCTTCTTGGGAGCCGAGGCGGCCGCCGGTGGCTTCTTGGGCTGCGGCCGGGGGGCAGCGGAGGAAGCCGTGGGGGCCGGCAGGAGGGGCGGCAGGGTGGCGGTGCGGCCGGGAACCCCCTCCGGCTCATCGCTGCGGGCCCAGGGAGCCGCGGGGCGTGCTCCGGGCAGGGCAGCGCCTCTCCCCGCGGGCGGGCAGGGCCCCGCGGCTCGCCGCGGCTGCAGCCCCATGGCCACAGGCGGACGAGGAGCCCCGGTCGTCGGCGCTGGATGCGAGCTCGATCTGTACCGACAGCCGTGGCTTTTCCCTCTCGATAACCCGCCCCCCTTCCCGCCCTTCGCCCGCCCCGGGAACACCCTTCCCCGGCGCGGGGTGGGCATGCGGGCACGGATCGGGGTCCTGCCGGCACTGTCCGCCCTTCCTGGACGAGCTTCACTAGCTCGCTGCGGGTGCTACTTCTCTCTGTCCTCTTCCGCCCGACCCACAGCAGAACCGAAGGTAAGAGTGCGGCGGGGCTTACGCACGCCCGAGAGCAAACAGGCTCCAAATTCTTCCCAAAGTCCTCAAGCGCCGAAGTGTGAAAGGGCAGTATTTTAATGCCACATTACACTAACACCCTCTTCCCCTCTTCAAAACTTTAATAATATTTGGAGCTCCTTGATTACTTGAATTACCGTGAATAAGGTTAGGCAGACAGTACAAGAGTGCAGTCAGTCCCACTCAGACCTAGGGCAGACTTGCTACTACACCAAATTTCAATGCACAAGCCACTCTCAGGATAAGAGCTGCCCCGCTTACCCATGAAGAGCATAGTCCAGAGATGCTTCTTCCTAGCCTCAATGCCATCTGTGATCGAGACAAAGTGCACTGTTCAACACTTCTGTCGTGATGGTTTTTTGGTTTGGTTTCGTTGTGGAGTTTTTGTTGTTGTTGTTTTTGGGGATTTTTTTTGTTGGTTGGGTTTTTTTTCTGATGGACAAGGCAGCAATTTCCTACCTTTCAAGTCCTACACAACAACAGAGGTTTGTAGAGGTTTCATGGGGCAGCAGTAAGTAAACAAATGTTTCCTATCAATCCAAGAGCACTACCACTGCGAAATTTAGCCTAAGTAGTCATGGCATATGATTTCTACAGCATTTACTTCGAAGTACTATTTTACCTAGCATACCAAAACTTTGTCAAAAGATGGGTAGGATGTATGCAATCCACTGGGATAGAGATCTTCACATTTGTGGTTCCACGCTATCATAAAGGGTATTATACTATGAGGATTCATCAACTGTGAGCTTTTGGAATACTCACTAAACAAAGACAGGATGTGAAGAAGCAAAAGATATAGACAAAACAACACAGTGTATGTGCTCTGTATGCAGATGGAGGAACTAAATCCTTAAATGTTCAGGAGAGAAAAACAAGAACACATGATGTAACAGACTTAAGTGCATATGAAGGCCTACATAGAACTTTTGGACCTCAGCTCTTGAACCCTTTCTCTCCTGGTGATCTCAGTGTTAACTGATCAGCGTTAACTTCATTACTTACCATAGTACATAAATAAATAATAAAAAAATCTGAATAACCAATACCATTCTAATTAAAACTTACAGTGATTAATTGTGTACCACCAGAACTGATGGATTATGGGCAAAACAAGCTCTGGAGCAACTGAAGGCCCAGCCCTGAAGCACTGACTAGTGGGAACGGATCCCCTTGTTGTCAGCTGTGACCAGCGGCAGCAAGAGAGAAAGGCGCAGTGGTGGCCATTACCTGGATTACATCCATCACCACCTATGCATGTGCTACTTCATCTTCAATGCAAACTGAAAACTAAAAGGAACTAAAAATTCCCTCAAGGGTCCCCCAGCACTCAGGGGCTGGGGTGGGCAAAGCTGGAGCGGCTGTCACTACACCACACAGTTACCAGTGAGCCCAAGAGCCTGCTGCAGGGCCAGGACTACCCAGGCCCCCATCACCAGCAGGAAGGATGCCTCGCTAGCAATTTGTTGTTTTAATCAGTTAAAAGGTGTTCCTTGGTTGGCAGTTTAGATGCAAAATAATGCAATCACCCTGTATACAGTTTCCCCATAAGATGTTGCTATGTTTTGCAACACACACTGAGATTTACAGGAACGTACTGTACTGCAATTCCTCTCTTTAGCCTGAGCCCTGAATACTAAGACGACTGGGGTTTTCCCCTTCCTGACACTCCAGCTCATGTCTTTAAAAGCCATTCCTTCTTCTGTATTTGTGCGTTAACAGAAAAAAAAGTGATTCCAAAACAACAGGGTTTGAACACATGAATCAAGCACATCTATCCTGTGCAAAAGAACCTCTGCAATATATTATCAACGACGGATTTAACTTTGCTCCAGAATAACTGAATAGCTCTTACTTGAAAAAAATTAGAAATGAGAACCTTTTACTGAATCCAGGCAAAGTATTAAAGTATTTCATTTCAATCAGTCATCAGTTGTCTAAATATTAAAAACGAAGAAGCTTTAAAGTCACTTCTGCAAATCTAATAACCAAATTTGGATATAGTCATGTACATATCCCACTTTTTCCACTTTCATACTTATTCGAGTGTAATGCTGAAATTTGCACCCTCTGTAGCTGATTCCTAAAGAAAAATATTTTAGGCACCTTTAAAATGAATTTATTTCACAAGTCTCATTTATGCATTTGCCATAAGTTCTTTTAGTAAAAAGTATTTAAGTACGAAAGTTTAAAAAAATCATTTAAAATACAGTTTTTCAATAAAATCCAACAAGCATTAAACAGATCTTTCACATGTTAGGCTTTTTCCACAAGGCACATGTATAGAACATTTCCAATGAGAAGTTAATTATAATTTACCAAATCTTTACAATGTTTATAAAACTCTAGGAAAACATACAATGGATAATGTACAAACATGAATGGCACCTTGCAAATTTTAGACAGAACTGTAAATGAAATCTTTATGCATACTACCCAGATCATAGTGGCTTGCCTCCACTGAGGAATAAACTGTTAATGGATGCAAAGTAGTTTTAAGACTACTCTGCATTAAGTATTTCAATGTACTTTTTTGTTAAAAAAAAAAAGCCTGGAAGTTCCAGAGTAAACACAAACAATTCACCAAATTTATTTTTAAAACTCTTTCTAGTAAAAATTATTTAATGTCCCAAATGCAAAAGGCAAGGAAAATACTAAATTGTTACTGGTTATTTCAGGAGTGGAAAAGTATAGTTTTCTGAGCAAAATTTACAGTTGGCTTTTAAAGTGGACAGTGGTTCCTGATTATAATTTACCCTAGACAGGATGAGAAGCATTTAATCACAGCATCCCTTTAAAAAGAAAAAAAAAACCAGTTATTTGTTATTTTCTTTATAGACATCTCAACCATCACATATTTAAATTAAAATATGACAGAAACTAAAGACAAATACTAATAGTTTATTAAATGCAGGATCTGTGTGTGACTACCTCTATTGAAGCGACCAAAGAAAGGCTCAAGCCAAATCTGAAACACAGGTCTCCCATGCTGTTTATATTCCAGCACATGCTAAAATGCAGACACAGTGTTAAGAACTGCTCTGCAGCACACCTGGAGGCTTAGCAAAGGTCAGAGCCTTATTTCACAAAGGCTGCTGATGGCTGAGGAATGCACCAAATCCAGTCAGTGAGACACAGGTGCTGTGAGTCCAAACCACACTAGAGGAGTTAGACCATCACAGCACGGGAAATAAAGCACAGGCTGAAGGGTTTAAAGTGCAAGTACTGACAGTGTAGGATGGAGAGCTGGTGCAGCCTTAAGGTTTGAAAGATCTGAAAGGCTGTATTTTTTTAATTGAAAACAAGCTGTTTTCTGACTGTTAGATGACTCACTTAAGTCTCATTTATTTTTCATTTTCTCAGAAAAGTAACAACTTGCTAAGGAGTGGAATTTGTATTCTGTTGTTAGTTGGCTGAAAAATGAAGAAACATACCATCATGACTCTTTAAAGTCACTGTAGGTATGGGTTTTGGTTTTGTTGCATTTGTTGTTGTTTTCATTTGGGTTTGGTTTGGGGGGCTTTTTTTTTGCCAGAGGCACAATTAACTAAAAAAAAACAAACATAAACCAACAACCCCCCCAACAAACCTATGAACAAGTAAATTGTTTTTAAGAGTAAACCATTAATAAACCAAGGGATGATGATTTTGTTGAATTCAAGATAAATACATACTTTAAACAAACGACATAATACTGTTTTCTTAACATAGTTCAGATTTAGAGCACTGTTTCTGTAGGAAAAGCAGCCTCTACAAGAAATTTATGATAGCATTCCACAGAAGCAAATAACTCAATAATCCTTAAAGAATTCACTAAATTACTAAAAGCAGTCTGTATAAAATTCAATTCTTTGGCTCATAAAATCTAACAGATAAATAAAACCAGAGAAATTAACTGATGCATATAACCTAATCTTTTTCTGCCCAGAACTTAAAGTACTATTGGTAGGGAAAAAAAAAACAAAACCAAACAGTGACTGGAAGCTCAACTTGGTTTCTCCAAAGAGCAGATTAAAAAATAAAAAAAAAGGAAGGAGCCTACTGAGACTGTCTCCTGACTACTGGAACTACAAGAATTCAGAACACTACTTCTGAATGGGTTAGCTTGGATTGTCAGAAATAGGAAGACAACAATTTGAAGCCTAAGTTCAGGTAAAGTAACTATCAACTACTAAAAGTCCTTCCTAGATGAAATCTGAAGCTTTAAAAAAACTTGTTGGTTTGTTTTTTTAAAAACACACTGTTGAAAAACCAAACTGCATTTTTCATGAATCATTACAGAAAAAATAGATTCTTATATTGGATTACTTGCATGTGTTTTCACTCTGTGTTTGGCTAGCTTTCATTCCCTTTTTGTACATGAGAGTGAAAACAAAGAGAAGCTTGCCAAAATGGAAATTAACACAAAGCATTGCCTTTGCCTGTCCCAAAAATGATGGACGAATTCAGAAATAGACTAAGCAGCTGAAACGATGTTGTTCATTTGCTTTTAACTAAGCCCTCAGATCTGTAAGTTAACTTTAATACCAAAAAAGTCACTATTGTATCACTGTATTTTTAAATCACTGGAGAATTTAAACAGAACCTTGATTTATTTTCAGTGATGAAAACTAGAGAGAAATTTATCAAAGATAATTACTGTGCACTTTATTTGTATTTAAAGCTTATATTAAGCATTAGTTTTGAGTTCAGCTATGTCATTTTCCAAAAATTAAAAGGAAAGGAAGGATGTTATGTTCTTCTCACATACTTACTCCCCAGCATAAAGGTAACTGACTTTTGTTAAGATGAAAATTATTATGCAGACTCACCTTGCAAAAGGAATATAAGACAGACTATACCTGAAAAAAAGAGGAAAAAAGTATATTTGTAGAGTGTTTATGTATCTCCTTGAACTAAATTATTTCACTATAGTCCAGCATTAATAAAAGCAACCTGTGGTAACACAACTTTAAACCGGATTACCTATTCAATTCAATGATTACTTGAGAAAAGATTACACGTTGGATAAGAACTAAACATACTGACAAGGACTTGGTGGTTTACTTCTCCTTGGCTCTTTTTTTTTTAATGTAGTTCATATTTTCTAATGCACATGAACTTAAAAAACCAAGATTTACTATGAACAGACCAAAAAGGAATGCTTCTGGAAAAACTGTATTCAAGATGATATAGACAACTTTTTTCCAGCTTAAAAGAGAATCTAAATTACTATGCAAATATACATCTAATATTTATGTAACTCTAAATACAGGTATATGCTGTAGTATGAACAATATGCCACAACTGTGACACTCAAACAGCTGAGAATTCTATTGTCCCCTGAAACTCGCTTCTCACAAGCTTCCAGGTGGTGTTTTGTTCTCATGCCCAGCCTGATCAAATTGTAGGACACTTAACAAATGAGAACTGTCTGCTGAAAACATGCAGAACACAGTCTGAGTTAGTAGTCTTTCCTCTATCCAATACCAAGCATTTGCCTGGGCACAGCACAATGCCCAACCGTCCCTATCCTGAACAAATGGTTACTTGTCCTCGAACCCAAGTTCAGTATAGACTCTGTGTATTCAGGGCAAGTTCAAACAAGAACTGTGGTCACCTTGGGTTGCCTGAGAGTTAGCACCAAGTAATTCCCCTGGGACAAGGAGACAAAGTATGTATCTCTATGGAGAAAGGAGTAACTTCCAAAACTTCTGCCAGGATTTCAGGCATTCAGCTGCACTCATGCATTGCCAAGCCTTTGCCCCTGAGTGCATTTGGATGGTCATCATAGTACCTGCTGCACTAAATTCACCCCCTCTTTGCCCAGTGCTGCTGTGTATTCTTGGGACAGGACATACCCTATGAAAATGTTGTTTAGTTTCTTTCACTTCAAAAATGAAAAAATAGTTAGAACTCAAAAAAAGAGAGAGATGCACAGAAGATATGATTATACTGTTACTTTCACAATACAGAAAAGGCATGAGAATCTTTTTGCATATACATTCCTTTTATAAGGCTTCAGATAAGTTCACACGTTGCAGAATATACTTAAAATTGCCATTTTTGTAAGACGATTGAATATAGATTTTGCTGGAGTTACACAACCTATCTTAGAAGAACAGATTGAGGCTGGCATTTGGGCACACTTACATGTGAAGCATATATATAGATTTATAATCATGCGGGTGTAGGAGCAGGAAGAATAAATGAAAAGGAATTTTAAGAATCTTACCAGGTCATTGCCAAAAACTGCAATATGCAGAATAACATCGCCAAACCTTTTTTGTCCCACTAAGTAAAAATGAAGCAAATATGGCCAGTTAGATCATTTTGCACCATTCTATACGGTAAACAATTGGAACAGTCTGTTCGATCAAAAATTGAGTTAGCTGACAATGCCTAAATCTTCATAACTTAATTTGCTACTTCTTTTCTTTCTAACAACTTTCCATTTGTTTTATCCATCACTTCATTAGCATCACGCTATGAAAACCTTTTCTAGCTTTGAAAATACTTAACAGCATCAGTGCTAACACTCTCTCATGAGATTGTACTTCTGCCAACATGGAAGTTTATTCCATATGAATATGTCCAGCAACGTATTTACTTCTATGGAATGTACGTACAGCCAGTTTACAATCAAAATGCTTGAAAGTACTTGTTCTGTTTCTTTTCTATTGTCTTAATTAGCTTAATATTCTGTATCCATGGCTTCTGAAGACCACTACATATTCTCTGATATTTTCTGACATCACTAAAATGAAACGATATTTTAACTTGCTTTTCT